TCTAAATCAAATATTTTACAATATTTACTTCGGTATAGAGATGGTTTAACTTGTTAATACCCTTGACCTTAATATATAAAATTTGAGTGTGCAGGTTAATGGCTACTCCTCCCGACAAGTATACCAGGGCCTAGCTTTGTCTTTTACATCCTTTCTGGCTGTTAATCAGCTATGGTTTAGGCTACATACATCGTACTCTTAACAACTAGTGACATGATACATATGGAAAATGTGTGTAGGGAGAAAACTAGGGACAAGATTTACCAGATTATGGAGAGAAAGAATGTTTCTAAATGTTTGCTGTCCATTACCATGTTCTGTCTCTCACACAATGTATTGTGATGCTGATATATACCATGATATGCCTTATACCATGTACTTTCTGAGTATACCATGTACTGTGTTTTTACCGTGTACTGTATGAGTATACCATGTACTGTGTTTTATACCGTGTACTGTCTGAGTATACCATGTACTCCATATTGTTTGATACCATCATGATGTTTTTACCAGTTTGACATAATGGCTATTAAATCAACTGAACACATTTTATGAGCCTACACGGTAACACCATCATCCTGTGTTGTAAACAGATTTTGATCAAACTTTATTCTTAAATCAAGCACACTGTATGAGAGTTCCTTGTATATGTTTGTATTTTAAGGTTCCAAGGTCATGAACAAGGTCACAGGTACTATTTATAGAAATTGGTCAACCAATTTATAATTAGTGGTCAAACAAACAGTTTCATTTCTGATGGATTTTGATCAAACTTTATACAAAGGTCAAGGATGAGCATACCTCAAATTATCTGAACTTCAGGGTATTGAGGTCAAGGCTAAGGTCAATATTACTATAGAAATTTATAATCAACAAATTCGAATTCTTTGTCATCACTCCAGCAATTTCTTTTCTTAATGGAATTTGATCAAACATTATACAAAAGTTGAGTATGAGATTACCTCAGATAATTTCATGTTTTAGGGTGCAAAGGTCAAGGCCACCATTACTTTTACAGAAAATTGTCAAACAATGAAACCAGTTTGTGTGGATATGGGGGTATTCATTTCTAAGATATATTTTCTAGTTGATAAGAAATTAAATGGATGAAACAGCAGGCACAGCCTAAAGTTCTGTCCACTAAAGTGGGCTATTCAAACCAATCATGGTCAGTCTCTCAGAATACATTGACATGATTGGTTTCTCTTTGTGTTACTGACGGTACATTTATTGGGCGATGATTCTAACCCTGCAATTACTGTTTTGTAAAATCTGATCATATTTCACCTCGTTTTGTTCCAGTATACAAATTACCAGCATTGATAGATGGTGTGTAGCTATAGATTATAGAACCATTGTTGCTGGTGTTGGTATTATAGTCTGTGACGTTTCTCGTAAACAACACTAACTGGAGAATTCCACGCTTGTTTGTTTGATTTCCAATCTTGTTTGTAAATCGTTGGTTTTTGGTATAGGTTTACTGTTAGGAGATATTGATTCTGTGCTACGACTCCCTGCATAACAACAATTATCAGCATCAGTAGTTGGAACCCTCAAAGGATCTTTTTAATGCTTGGTCTGTTCCTGATGACTTGAGGAGAAATCTTCTCATCATACATGTTAAGCCAGGCTCATTTTGCAAATGGCATAAATGACCGCAGAAGTAATTCTGTTGTATCTAAAATGGATATAAGTTTTTCCTTTGAAGGAAATATTTTCCAGTGTTTAAGTCATTTAACATTCACTGAAATATAAGTTTTACGTATCACTGGAAAAATCGTGCAAATAACATTACTTTGAAAAGTAACCTATGTACCAGTGATGGTAGTACCCAGTCAGCATTACTGGATGGGCTACAGGATTGTACTGTCTTACATTATCTGTATTTTGTCTATCCTTTCTTCCCAAAAATTTATCCAGGGCACATCACCTCTTCTATTTCCCTTGAGTTATCAGACTGGTATAAGGTACATGTTAGGATGAAGGAGTGTTGCATACCAAGGTTGGTTAATGTTACACACATATTTATCTTAAACCCCTGACCGCAATCATTGAAACTGGGGCATAGTTCCTATATGAATTTATGCAGAATTATCTGATTTGGTACAGAGGTATATCTTGTTGTTATAATCTCCTATATACATGTAGAGGACATAAACAGATGCATATAGTTACCTATTAACTGATGAGGGGGCATAGCTTTATACAAAAGCATACTTATACCTGTTATCTGGGG